AACCTAATGACCAACTATAGACCAATATCCATCCTTCCAATTCTTTCTAAGGTAGTAGAAACGCTTGTCAAAACTCGCGTAGAAAGTTTTTTTATCGACATGAAATAATAACTGACGCCCAATTTGGTTTTAGAAAGGGAAGGTCGACAGAGTCAGAACTTTTAATCTAGAAATAAATAATTCAAATTAACATTCAAAACAAGCTTTTAACACTAGGTATTTTGATTGATTTTAGTAAGGCGTTTGACTGCCTCAATCATTATATAGTCCTTGATAAGTTAAAGTGTTATGGAATACGTGGTCCAGCACTCTTACTCTTGGATTCCTATCTCTCCAATCGCCAGCAGTGTGTCAGCATCGACGGGCGATCTTCTTCTCTCAAAGCCGTAACCTGCGGCGTGCCTCAGGGTCGCATACTAGGCCCTCTGCCCATTAACATTTTTATAAACGACGTGGTAGAGGTTAGTACTCTTGCGCAGTTTGTAATATATGCCGACGACACCAGCCTTTTTGTGTCGGGCGTAGACGCGGAAAGCTTAATTATTAAAGGGGACCTGCAATGACGTTTTGACTGGTTTTTAATTTGCACTGAACCTGAGCGTACTGAACGTAGAACCTTAATCCAACTTTTCTTTTCTCAAATTTCGCTTTAGTTTAAAAGTTATAGGCAAATTAGAATTACAAAAACAAGCAAAAAATAACCTCCTTCATGACGTCGTAGGTCCTGCCTTGAGTAGCCTTGAACTAGAGGAGGAGTAGTGAGCTCATCGAGCGCACACGGCTGCCGCACTCCGTGTCGACGGCTCGAGAGGGCGCCACTAAAGCACATGTTGGATAGGCTGTATGAAGCGGACGGCCAGGGCAGCTCGTATTGCATTTGCAGCGCGACTAAACACTAATTCGGCATAACATTTCATTGGCCAGAAACGACAGCAAACACGGGGTAAAGATCAGTTCAGAACGGGAGCTACTTCGCTCTGACGCACCGCCAAATGGCCGAATCGCCAGCAGGGCCCGCGCCGAAGGCCTTCGGAACGCTCGGAACCGGTCGGATCCTTGAGCCGGTATACGACCACAGCGCCGCCGCGTACATTCGGGACCTTTCTACGCTCCTCGTTTGTCGTAGCCTCTTCCCACTAACCTTTTCTAGTATGCGCCGTTTTTTTCCGCTGCTTGGTGGCGGGTATGACGACGGGTCATTTCTCGTTTCCGTACTTTCTAAACTGCATTTGTTTCTTTTCTGACCTAAAATAGTGAACAAAAACTACTTTCATACATAATTGAAACGGTTCGCGACACTTATATTTTGTATCTCGACTAAAAAAAAGCTCTTAGCGGCTTTGACCAGTGGCAAGCCCAGGACCAAAGACGTCACATTTTGCGCGCTTTCGGTACCGCGGGTCGCCCTCGTCGGTGGAGGAGGTTTCCGCGTCGTCCGGTTAAAATATGACGCACTGATATTTAGTTACTCTCTCCGTGCCCGCTGGCTTGCCCCAACCCCAAGAGACGTGGAAACCGCAAAAAAGGTAGACGCCTAAATATGATTGCAGGGCCCCTTTAAGGAGAACAATATTCTCGCGCAATTTGGCAGATGTTCTGAGGTAAATTGCCCCAAAATTAATGTAAACAAAACCAAGGCACTCGTATTTCGGTCATTGAATAAGCACGTCTCCTTCACTAAATCTCTTACCTTAAGTGGTACAGTAATCCATATAGCTAAGCACCAAAAAACGCTGGGCGTAATTTTCTCTGAGCATCTGTCGTGGGATCGCTTAATTGATAATTTGGTCAGCAGGTTTTGCAGAGTCATTGACGCTATTAGAAGATGCCGCTCAATATTGCCTGTTAACATTAAACTCATGATTTATCATTCCCTTTTCGGATCTCATATAAATTATTGCCACATCGGGGGGCACACCAACAACTTCGAATTTAAGCAGGATACTGTTACTTCAAGAAAAGATGCTAAACATCATCGCGGATGTACGCTACTTATGTCACACTAAACCGCTCTTCGAAAAAATTAAGATTGTTGCCATTACAGATATGCACGTGTATCGTCTTTTGTATGTTTTCCTTTTCGGAACAAACGAATTCAATGAATTTTTTTGGCGTACCTGGGACTTGAATAAAAAGGAAATTTTGGTCAGTATGCGCTGCTCTGAGATATGGTATGTTCCTCATTTCCGCACAAATCATGCTTTACAATTCCTTCGCCATATGTTACCCTCTCTACTCAACAGGTACCACCTAGAAAACATGGAAACATACTCTCTGGCTAAAGCTGAAAATTATCAGAGTTTTATCTAACGCGGATGTCTCTGTATGACATTTTTCTTTTTCTCGCTTTTGCGTATTATGCTTGCTGCCGAACGTCCCTGCGCTCTCGCTCGATAACTGTGTTCATTGTTACTTAAGCACGTGCCCAGTTGGTAAGAGAATCTCCATATGCTGTATAACGAGTCTTTTCGATGTAACACTTTTTGGCCAGATTGCTATGCTTGTTTAGCTTTAGGGCCTCAGACCCTGTCAAGTTACCATACGGTAGGTTTTTGTCTGGAGGCCCGCCAGAGGAAATTTCTGGAAATAAAGATTTCATTTCATTTCATTCCATTTCATCTGTATGTTGGCATTTGTGTCCGGCTGGCAGATGGAAACGCAATGGCGCTTCTTCCCCAGATCCAGTGACATTACGCGCCGCAAATCCCACCATGCCCCTGGTGACGTCACACATGACGTCACGTGTGACGTCATGAGGGTTTGATTTTCCCGCTAAATATGTCGGGAAAATTTTTCAGCCAATATATTGAAAAATTATCCCGCCAATTCTAGCGGAAAAGTTTGGCACGAGGTCATCTGGCTGTGACTGTCACAATGGCGTCACAGCCACGTGTGACGTCACGCCACATGACTTCGCGCGGGAATTTCAAACAACCCACTACGCTCACGTGTGACGTCACCTGACACGTGACGCCATGGGGCTTGCACTCACCGAAAGACAAAAACACAACCAGAACGAGTAGCTTGTGAACTTCACGAACTCTAGGGCCTTATCACATTTTCAATACTTAAACAAGAGGAAACAAACACCACTCGCGAAAAAAATTGCCCAACTTTCCCGCAATATAGCAAACCAAGAAGACATCACCATCTTCCAATGGAGCCTATCACATATGGGACACGCGAAAGAGAAAGATGATGCTCTTACCAAGGAAGCCCAAGACGACGCATCAGAAAAGATAACATTTGACCCGTACAACTCTGCACGATACAATACTCACAAAATGGTGCAAACGGATCACCCTCGCCCCGAAACAGGCTCTGGATTACCGCCTCTCATTATTAAAAAAAAAAAAGAGTTCGCGAGGAAGCAACAATATTTATTGCACAAATTACAAACTGGCTGCGCATACATCCAATTTGGTTCGCACCTTATTCCACGAGTATATTTTCCGAAAATATCCCCATCGCGACGTGACAGAAGAACTCCAGAAAAAAAATTTTGGGTATGCCCAAAACACGCAGGACTAGAGTCACTAAATAAGCTACGTTTCAGAGTAACGATACTTACCCATCTTGGGGCTTAAAATTATGGTTTCCATGTATCTGAAGCTCTATGTGAATAATCACAAAAACCTATTTTCCTTCCTCTAGAAATGTTTAAACAGTTCGCGACAGAGAAAATCAATACTACATTACCTTCCTAACACCGAATCTAATGCTCAAGAAGTCAGACTTTTGAATCATGACGATCGGCAGTTCCGTCTGCTCTGCACTAAGCACCAAGATGGCGGCGTCCACAACAGTTCCGGAGAGCAAAGAGCTGAAACTTTAATCGTAGCTCATTTAGTGGCTCAACACAGTACATAGGAATTATCCTCAAAAGGCAATCGCGCCAAATCACATGGGCAACCAAGATGCCCAAAGTCCCTTTTTTTGCAATAAGACCACAAACGACCATGATTAAGGCTTTCCATGCCATCCTTGATTTGCTCGAGGCCACGGACCTCTCATCCCGACTCTAACCCCGACTGCCAGGCAGTAGCCCTCCTTTTTCTCTTCGGAATCACTCGTTTTTTTCTTTATAACATCACATTGGGAGGCTAACCTCTCGTTACGCATTTCCTCTTTTTCCACCTTGTCTTCTTATTTACCCCGGAACGGCCAGGGTCTTCCGGGGTTACAACCGCTACGAAGGTACGTGAACAGTGTGGAGGGCGTTAGTTGTGGCGGGGCACACGTTAGAGAGAGAAGCTATGTGCCCATCGCCAGGCGCCTGTCACTTACCCGACGTGCGCGAGAAAGATGCCAGCAGGCAACCGTTGAGAGTCAGTCAAAGCAGCACCAAAAGTGGGCCTAGAACGGCACATGGGCTGATCCAGTTTTGACGCTAGTGAGGCCTGAGCCAAGCTAGGGTTTGGGTGATGCCTCGGCAGGATTCACGAAGGGGGACGAGACAGGCTACCCCTAATGTCTGTTTCGAAAATGTGTCTAGCCTCATACTGTTGAGTGACTGGACGTAGAATTGGGGTGCAGTCTTTCCTCGAAATGAGCTTCAGTCATTTTCCATGGTCCAGCGTGCAGCTTGGGGCCTAATAAAATGACAACCCCGGCAAGCTCATGCTCACAGCAACCACGACAAATGCCAAAAAGAGCACCAAGAATACAACGCACGAAAAGGCTTATTCACGTCGTTCACAGTTTCTGTCTTGTAGGGCTTAGCGGCGCGCCCTTGCAGTGACAGCTGGCAACCGTCGATTGGGCAGGCATTATCAGTATATAGGAAGTTATCCGTCAAAATATGCGACACTATTTTTAGGCAGCTGGCGCACACAAGTTGTCTAGACGTATATCTTATCCAGTAAATATGACTTTTGAACATGGATTTGAAGAAAATAACTTTATAGGTTTGAGGTATAGGTCCTCGTTTTCTCTGCTGCAGATTTGTTGAAGCACTGGCTGTGAAGATCTCTCTGTGAAGTTGGCCTCATCTTTTGGTTTCACGTACACTCTGAGTGCAGATAGTCCCTGAAGTCGTACCCGAACATCTCGAAGTCGAAGAAGAACCGCTCATATAAACGCATCACATGATGTAAAGTGAGCTCTTTAAAAAACTCTCGGGCAGATTTGCGGAACCAGTGGTCGCCACCGTTGTTTTTATGCGGAATGTCCTCCGGCCGAACACCTAGTGCTTCAAAGAACAGCGCAAAGTCCCTGTTTGCTGTCTCCAGCTTTCCGACGACCTCATATTTGACGACACAAGGCTGACACGTCACGTAGTACGGAGCCCAATGAGGGTCCATCTCGTTCACTCTTTGATTCAGTATGTAATCAACGAACTCCGGGAAGGTCAAGTTCCGATCCGTTGCCCTGACGCCAGGCACGTCGTTCCAGTAGCGCTCGTAAAAATAGACCATGACAGCACGTGGGCCTAGTGCCTTGTCCACGTAAGCGGATACAAGCCTCTCGAAGGGATGCCTCACGAACATGGCGGTTGTGTAGCGCTCCTCGTTGCTCCTCTGTAGGAACGTCATGGGTGAGACTGTGCGGACCTGCTCATGAAATGTCCTGTGAAAGCTGTCAACTGTATTTGGCGTGTTGCTGATGTTGAGCAGGAGCCCGAAGATGGTCTTCACAGTGGTGGATGCAACCTTGCTGATGAAGGAGTAGCCGACTTTCCTTGCGGGGTCGATGATGATGCGACATCTTGTGATGTGGCACAGGTCGGGCCGTTCGTAGCTGAAGTTGCGATCCACCAAGGTCACTTGGTACTTGCGACACACTTCGTTGATTCTTTTTGCTCTGGATGCGAAGTCATCGTCGCTACGTCTGGAAGTCTGCGGAAACAAATATAAAGAGCACGGAATTAATAATCGACACGGGAAGTGCAAAACTGTTATGGGCGCAGATGGTATACATTGCGGATTGCGGGCCTTGCGCCCGCGTGCTGAATCTGTGCTCGAAGAGTCGTCACGAGCTCCCGCTGTCAATGCAAAACTCTTGCGTACGATCGACGAAAAGTCCTTGTTATCTAGAACCTATTGTAGGGTCAAGCGTATGCACGTCGATTTCATGAACGCTTTTAGACAACGAGAGCTGAAATTGTCTAGGATACCAAGCAAAAACGAAACAAAACTATATAATTCGTTCCCTGTGCGACAAACATGAAATCCGAAAACGGCCAACGTAAGGTTTTTTTTTACAAAGGAGTCCCGTCAGAACAACACTTGGAATATCTTCAGAAGAAATAGGAATCGGAATGGCCACTATGCCCACTGACAGGATGAGAAAGGCAGGGCGTTTCTTCGCATGCCGGGACATCAGCACGCGCCCGTTGGCTTCTACCGTGCTTCGGCTGCATGTGCACGCTCGAAGCTGACGAGACGCTGGAGCATTATGAAGGCAGGAGCCTCGCTGGGAAGGCGGGACAGCTGAGGGACCTCCCTGCCCTTCTCATTCTTTTGAGTGGCCATAGCAACAACACTGCGTATTACCTGCTCTGTGGTCGTGCCGCCGGATGCCGGCGTTGGACAAGAAGGTGGTTGTCTCAACCAATCAAAATATACCAGCGAGGCAACAATCGCTAAGCACAAAACAGCCAATGCAATTTTGCCGACCGTACAAGACGACTTCTTAGACATCGGTGTACACTCTAGGGCACTGCAAGCTGACGGGCGCTGTCCCGGACGGAGCGAACAGACGAAGAATATGCGGGCACCGTGTCCGGCTGCAACAGAGCAAATTTGCATTTTACTCTTCGAATGCTCACAGCTGCAAGAAACATGTACATCATTGCTCAATTGAACACGAAACTTTCTGCGAAACGCGTGCACGAGGGGAGAGGGGGTTGGGTAATCAACGATGCAGAGGAGCTTAGAGTTATAAACCGGAAGCTAGACAGCGGCACCCGGGCTTCGGTTGTCACCACTTTGTACGGAAAAGCGACTACTCGTGCCGTGACCTCTCGAAAGCGGTGACGTCACCGGTAAGATTGCAGCGCCCAGAGCTGGTGGATACGAGTTAGTTCTGTGCGCGGTAATCGTGATTTCGGACTTCTGAACCTTTTGATATAACGTGCTGTCATTGCAGTAGCTCGCATTTGATCGGATTTTTTTTTTTGTGTGTGAAAAGCTGGTGCTGATTTTAGTGATGTGCACGTGAAGTGTTACAAAGGGTTCGAACCAATCATTCGGAAAATAGTTAACTTCTAGCGTTCACAAAACAGTTAAATGTTTCCATTGGAGCTCACGAGACAGCAAATCTTGTTTTTTTTTTTATTGGGCAGTGCAAAAATTATGATCAGACTCCGCTTAGATGGTTGTCTCATCCACCACTCTATCTAGAGTCTTAAAAAAAGATGAAGTCCTACCACTACACTTATTAACAATTCTTTAAATTTAAAGCAACTCGGGAATAAAAAGTGAAAGCCGTTTACAACTCCCTGTAACACCGAATTAGAGCGCAGCTCTTGAGGAGGAGGAGGGAAGGGTACTGGGGGGGTGAAGTGACCTTGGGGCGTCACGTGACCTTAGGGGTCACGTGACGATGCCGATGATGTCATCAGTGACGTCACTGATGACATCATCAGTGACGATGACGATGCGGACTCCGATGACGTCATCAGCGATGATGACGATGACGATGCGGGTGTCAGTGACATCAGTGACGTCACTGATGACGTCATCTGTGACGATGACGATGCAGATGCCGGTGAGGTCATCAGTGACGTCATTGATGACGTCATCAGTGATGATGACGATGACGATGCGGATGCCGGTGACGTCATCAGTGACGATGACGTCATCGGGGAGGTCACGTGACCTCGGCGGGGGTCACGTGACCCTGGGGGTGGTCACGTGACCTCGGGGTTCACGTGACTTTGGGTGTCACGTGACCTTGGGGGTCACGTGACCCTGGGGGAGGGGTCACGTGACCTCTTGGGGTCACGTGACCTTGAGGTGACCTTGGGGTCACGTGACCTCGGGATGACCTTGGGGGTCGCGTGACCTTCGTTACGCCGACGGCGACGCCGACGCCGACGACGACGCCGACGCCGACGCCGACGCCGCTCAAGCCGGGAACGGGCCCCTAAGAGCTGCGCTCTAAAAGTGAAAAGCATTTATAACCCCCTGTGCCGTCGAATTAGAGCACAGCTCTTGAGGAGGAGTAGGGAGGGGTACTGAGGGGGGGATCACGTGATCTTGGGGGTGGGGGGGGGTCACGTGACTCTTCCCCTCCCCGAGCTCACCGAAGGTACCCGAGGTCCTCCCGAAGGAACCCGAGGTCCTCCCGAGGTCCTCCCGAAGGAAACCGAATCCCTCCCGAGGTCCTCCCGTAGGAACCCGAGGTCCTCCCGAGGTCGTCCCGAGGTCCTCAGGGGGGGGGGGGGGGGGGGGGGGGTTACGGTTGCTTTGACGCCGCTCAAGCCGGAAACGGGCGCCTAAGATCTGCGCTCTAAAAATGAACTGTAGATGCTTCAGTTTTGTAGGATTTACTGAAGCCATAATTTTGTTCATATGAATGGAATTGTATCAGTCAGGTGATTATTTACTTGCTCTAGTTACCCGGACAAAATAACTGGTATTAGTGTTCGTCCCAATTGACCGAAAAAGCAGTCTCTTAGGAATATGTTGACTACCATTTATTTCAGTCTGTTCAATTGACGTTTTTCAAAAGTGTGTGCTGCCTATAGTTTGTTTCACCATAAATTGGCAAAGAGCAGACGCTACAGCCCCCTCAAGCCAATCGGAGAGATTGAGTGAAGGTATGTGAAAACTCTCCTTAGGAGGAGAGTCCTCTGATGATATATGGTCACGTGCCTCTCTTCAACGTTCATATTGGCTCACTGGGAGTTCGCCGTTTGCTAAATTATGGTGAAACGGACTATACTCAACCAAAATGTTGGGGCGCAAGCAAGCTGGTGGAAGTTTACCATTTTAGACAAAACCCCGAGACTGGGCGGCAAAAAGGACAACACAACACAACGTGTTGTGTTGTCCTTTTTTCCCCCAGTCTCGGGGTTTCGTCTAAAATTAACTAGACTCCCTTCCACTACCATTGTAGCTAGTGTGATTATTACTTGATTGCTTCATACTTTGGGAATGCACTCTAGGGCTGTATTGGACAAGACTGTTATGCCAGCAATCATTGTGAACTCAGCTGAGTGCCTATTGGACTCAAGTGCAGTATTAGCGTTCAACGTGATATAGGGATCATTCACGTGCTTTACGCCGAAGAAAAAGCATGTTGACAGTGTTGAGTGAAGGGGTTTTGCAGTGTCCATTGTCACATGTATATGGAATTTCGCTGCTATATAACAATGCCCATAGCCAGAATCATCACATATAATTAAACTGAGAAATTATTCAATTTCTCAGATGTTTGTTCGTCTTTGTAATTAACAAGTTAAAGAAATAATTATTTGTTACGAGTGTAATATTTTTGTTCCAGGAGCTCGGCCTGTTTTGTGCAAATTAGTGTCGGTGTGCTATTATGTTATTATCATGTGTGTATAGTTTTAAATATACTGTCTGCAATGCCTACGAGGACCGTTGGAGGGATTAGAAGAATGAATAACTTATTCATATAACTGGAGTTTGCTGCATGGGGCAGACCCATTTGACAAGTCTGCCTATACCGCCAGGCTAGGGAGAGGGGCGGGAGGGGGGGGGGGGGGGAGTTACGTCAGAGATGCCTGTGCCCTGAAAAGCTCCACCGCTTGGAGTTAAAATTAATCTTGGCGATTTTGCATCTTAAGGAGTAAAGGCTGGTGTGTGAATTTGGTAAGTTTTTTGAATATGCTTGTTTCCACTTGGTTGCCTGATTATTGTTACTTATCAAGGGGTTCCATAACAACTTCTTTCTACGACAGTCTGCTCTCAGGCGCCCAGTCATAGTGCCTGTGCTCCAGCTCCTGGCATGTTGGCGTTCATTTTCGTCGAGTGGCGGTTTGACTGACTCCTCTGTCTTGGGATCATTCGTCATGTGCCGCCATTGACATCCGATGGGCTGAAGCTGCAGGGCTGGTTGAGATTCCCGAGTTAGAAAACGATAGCTGTTCTCAATTTTAAATTTAAAATTCAAATTCTTTATTGCTTACCACATGGACAAACAAGCAGGAAAAAGAAAAAAAACAACAACTCAGTTTTGGGTGACAAACTTCTGCCTCCCCCCCCCCCCCCCCCCCGTCAGCAGCAGAGAATATCTGCAGATACACGCACAATATGCATAACAATAAAGTAATTACCAACAAACTAAGTATTACTACCAACCATAGCAAAGAGAAAATAATTTAAATTGTGCAATCACCTTATGGTCTTAGGATGAAAAGACATAACTAGTTAAAATTCCAACTCAGCATGTTCATCTTAAATTCATTGCATCAATTTAGAAAATGCGATACCCTAGGTATTATTGTTTAATTAGTCCTTGAATGCGGTACTTTCCAACTATCCGTACAACGAGTATTGTACGTCTTTTGCCTGAACTCGAGATGCCAGATTGCAAGGAATGAATATTTTTGAAATGAATTTTTTTTATGAAAGGGCTAGTTTGTAATTATAGTGATTGGTAACTTGCAAAATATTGAATTTTTCGAACAAACATAAGTTTTATGGCATATTATACGTATCACTCTTTTTTTGGGGAATATGTATCGTTGAAAAACAGCTCTCTGATTTGACATTAAGTTTATAATTGTAGAATACATAGAAAAAACTTATATACCGTCAAAAAAGCATCAAAACGTCATGCACGCGGGGGGGGGGGGGGGGGTCGCACCTTAAACAGCGATCACTAAACGTTTCTAATTCTGAGGTCAAGGACCCGGCGAAGAGCA